CAGGAACGTCGTATTTCTTCCCCAACTTTTCATTTTTTAATTTTTCAAACAATACCAAAATGGTTGAGAAAACATAAAATAAAAATCATGTTGAAGCAGTAGCAGTTGACTTTGCATTATTTTCAAGTAAGCAAAAAACACCCTGGCAATTATTTCAGCATACATCTCTTAAAAGCAGTAACAGTCTACTGCACAATCACAATATCATGACCACACTTAAGGAAAGCAACAGTAATGCAATAATATCCACTATTTCCTATTTTGAAATCAGAATTTTCCAATTATCTCAAAATTGTATCTCATAGCTGGCACGCCAGCTCCAAGTCCAGGATTCAGTACATGTCTACCATGGCATTTAGGTGTTGTGTTTCTGGAGTTTCGTTTCTTCTAGAACAGTCTTCCTCCATTTTTTAAATTCATTTACTTACTTTCCCTTGTTTAAAGAGTTAGTCAGTAGTCCTATACTACTATGATATCTCATTTACTGGGTGTGTCTGATCATCTACTCATGGTGTTCTATCATTTGCAATCCCATCATGCCTAGTATTTCCTGTAAACTAGAAGAAATCTGTTTATGAGATTCAAGTTAAATATTTAGGACAAGATTCCTTCCATTTTGTAAACTGATAAATAAAAATTGGATATATTTATGGGGTACCACGTGATTTGATTCATATATACATTATATAATGTTCAACTAAAGCCAAACATGCCTATCTCCTATCTTCTCAAACACCTGTCATGTCTTTGTAGTGAAAAGATTCAAAATCCTTTCTTCTAGCTTTTTAAAAAACATGTAATATACCTTACTGTTCATTACTTTTTAAATGGAGATGTCAAATAAGAGAGCTTGGATAAGTTATCTTTCTGTTCCTTATTTTCATTAATCACTGTGTTTTTAGCCATTATTCCACCTTGTCATCTTCCTCTTTTTTTTATCTAATTTGACAGTTTTGTGAGGATGGGTATGAGAATGGTGCCATGTCAGTACAGGGCATGTGTCTGTACCGAAGCCAGTATTTGAAACTGCCAGATATCAGAATAAAATCAAGATAAGTCCTAGAAGAAGGCTCATGTTTTCCCCGTGAACCTCAATGGTATATTTTAGGATCAGATTCTTGTAGTGTAACAAAAGTTGCTTAACTTTCAGAAAAACAGCACAGATGAAAAATATTAATACTTATGTATCACTGATATCACTAATATTACAGAATTACAAATGTCCTATTGACCCAACAGCAAACAGCACTTGTAAGTATTGATGAAAGTTAACTTCTAGAATAGTTGTTTTAGGAAGCAGAGAAAGGAAACTGTTGCAGATTTTGTATGGGATGGTAGGTCTTTGCTCCCATCAGATAATTAATAATCCGTGTTATTAATGAATTAAGGCTCACTGTTAATGTCAGTAGCATATTTGTACTAAGAGTGCTTATTCACATAAAGCTCAGCTCTCAGTTGTTTACACTTAAATTTCCAGAAAAAAAAAAAGTTAGGTCTGGAGCTACAGCAAAGCAGTTGCATCAATTATTCACAAATCAAAAAATAAATAAAATGAGAAAGTATTTCTAAATGGTATGAGAATTTAAAAACTTTCCTGATGTAGAAAAATAAACTGCAGTCATTTGGACCTACTTGAGAATCAAAGGCGTGTTCTTAACCGCTGGCTAATAGCGTCCATTTGTTCAGCTGTCTGGTGCACCATCACAGTCTGGAGGTGAATTGGCCAGTGTCTCCATGCAGAATGTTAAAACAGCATTTACATTTCTCACTGCTCCTTTGCTGTTATCGCCTTCAATTGTACAATGAAAATGCACAGCTACCGAAATGCCAGTGGGAACAGGTTCTGATTATAAAATGAACCATGGGGAGCACTCAGAGAGGACCCACACATCCATCATGGGGAGGGCTCCTCACTTGCAAAATAAAAGCCCCCAGGCTCCTCTCATCCCTTCTGAGATGAAGAGCACGTATTATGGTGACCCCCAACTGTAGCGTTATGAATGCTGTCTATAACCTTGTAACAGAATGGGACGATGAAACCCATTATCTCCATCAACATTTACTGAGTAACTACCGTGTGCTGAGACCTGTGTGAGGAACTCCTCCTGGCTTCCCCAGGACTTTGCGTTTTCAGCACTGCCATTTCAGGATACTGGAATCCTCTTAAGTTCCAGATGAACTTGAATGTTCGGTCATTCAATCCACACTAAGCACAGAGGATGAAGACAAGTTACAGCCTCATCCCTGCCATCAAGAAGCATGCTGCCCGAAAGAAAATCAGAAAAGTAAGCCCAGTATCAGAGTTTGGAGCAATTGGTTCTAAAGATTATGAACAGAGCACTGTGCAATGCAGAGGGCTGAATCTGAATCTAACTGGAAGGTGAGAAAGTGTACCTGCAAGAAGACAATGCTTGACTTTGACTTAAAAAAAAATAAGTAGCACAACACTCACAGTTTAAAGTAGGAGATACCTATGGGACATCATACAATTATACTTATTCTCTGAGTCTCAAAATGTGTATTTGGCTTAGATTCCTACAGCATAATGGTGGGATTTTAGAATGAAATGAACATGAAAAAAGAATGTTCATTCCTTGTGTGCTTTATTATGGGACAGCGTGAGACTGCCAGTATTGCAATCCTGAAAATGGTGATCATTTTCAGAACTACACATAAATATGTTAATGCCCATTGCTTTCTCTGGGGTGTGAGTTGAAAAGGGTATGAATGGCCATGGAAGCTGTGGACATCAAGTACAACAAATCAGATGTGAGTGGACAGGCATTTGGCCTAGCTGTTAAGATACCAGGCAGGATGCCCACCTCCCACATCAGAGTACCTGGGTTCAACTCCTGACTCCAGCTCTTGATCCCAGCATCCTGTTAATGCAGGACCCTGGGAAGCAATGGTGACAGCTCAAGTGACAGTGCTTGCCACCCATGTGGGAGACCTGGATTGAGATCTCTGCTCTGGCCTAACTTTGGACCATGTGGACATTTAGGGAGTGACCCAGAGGGTGGGATCAATGGATCTCTCTCTCTCTCTCTCTCTTTCTCTCTCAGTCTCTCAATTTTTAAAAGATTAATATGATGGTCTTTTTCCAATGTTTTATTTTGGAAAAATAATCCAACTTATTATAAATTGTATTTTTTGAAGAACTGTATACTTTCCACCTAATTTGCTAATTATCAAAAATTTTCTGTCTCTATACATATAATTTATTTATTACTGTGCCAGTATAATTTGTGGAAATCACACTCCTTTAGTCCTAAGTAGCCCAGTGTGTGTCTCCTAAGAATATGTTCTTTTCCTACATTACCACAGTACGAACTCAGGCTCAGGAAATTAACACCGATATCATCCTAGTATCTAATACAGGAGCAGTAAGCACATTTTGCCCACCATTTCTTTATGGAAATTATTTTTCTGATCTCAATTCAGAATCATGTGGGGCATTTGGATAGCACAGCTCTTGGTTTTCATCAGGGGAACTTCTCAAGCTTCTCTTGTCTTTCATGACTTCCGTTTCTGAGGCATGTGGACTGGCTACTTTTGAGAATGACCCTGGGTTTGCTTTTGTCTGATGTGCTCTCATGACTAGATTTGGGGTGTGAGTTTCCAGTTGCTTTAGTGATGTATCCACCAAGAGGTACACAGGATCAGTTTGTTCCATGGCTCGGTTACTTGGAGAAGGTGAAAGTTTGCCAAGTTCCTGCATGTAAAATGCCCATTTTCCCTTGGGCAACTAGTAAGAAATCCATGGAGGCACCTGGACATCCTGTTCTCCACCATGTTCCCCCTGCATTTTTTGCTTTTGTCTTAGTTTATAGGGGATGCTGTGACAAAAGGCCACAAATGGGATGACTTAAACCGATAGAACATATTGTCTCACCAATCTGGGGACTGGTTGCGTGAGCTCACAGTGTCAGCAGGGTGGGTCACTTCTGAGGGCTGTGAGGGAGGGGTCTAGTCCAGGCCCATCTCCTTGGCTTCCAGGGGGCCATCTTCGTCCTGAGTCTCTTCACGTCGTGTTCCTTACATGCTTGACTACCTGTCCTGATTTCCCTTTTTGACAAGGATACCAGTTGTACTGAGTTAGGGCCCACCTTCATTGGGCTCACTTCTGGCAAGACCTTATCTCAAAATAAGATCATATTCTGAGCACTTGGGGTTAGGATTCCCACATAGGAATCTGGAAAGACACAAGCCACAGCACATACATCATATTCATCCATAGACTCCTGAATGTTTGCATAGACAAAATGGCAAAGCGGGGTTATGATTGCATGAACTCAGGTCTTCATTATGAAGCCACATGGTATTGGAGCCCTCTCTCTACCATTTCCCCAGATACAGTCAGTGCTGGGCCTGGGAAGACAGGAGGTGCTAGTGCTAACTCGCTCTGGGCTGTCCATTCTCTGGGCTGAGAAAGTATACATCCCCATATTTAGAATGATGCTTCTTCTCCTTTGGTGCCACAGAATGCTGGGTGGATGTGGTTTCCCACCCAGGTGGGTGCGGTCTATGTAAGCCTGTCCATTGTACTAGAGCAGGGATTACAGTAGCTGAAATAGTGAAAACATTCATTTCTTGCTAAAACAAGTAGTCCTGGGGAAAATGCTTTATCTCCGGGTGCACTGTTTTGGTGCATTGATCTGACATCCAGACAAATTAGAGTATATACTCGGGGTGTTAGCAAGAGGGGCTCTCAGTGGGAGAGGGGCCCAAAGCCAGGGGTGATGCGCTAGAAGTTTTAATTCCAAGTGTGGAAGAAGAGAAAAATGGAAAGCAAAAAGCCAATTACCTGGGAGCTCCCTCCCAGAAGTCAGAGGCAGTCTAAGGGAGCAGCGCTTGGGGAGTGGAGAGACAACAAACCCGGCAGCGCAGTTATCTAAAAAGGGGCAGAGACCCCACGTTCCTCTCATCACGGCTTCTGTGTCCTTCCGCTGTGCCGCATCCTCAGGGGGATTTTCACTCACTCTCCTTCCTTTCTTGATCAGGTCACAGACATAAAAGAGAAACTGAAGCTCTCTAAAAAGGTCTGGTCGGCGTTGCCCTACACCATCTGCAAAGACGACAGCGTGACCGCGGGCACTTCCAATGAAGAGGAATGCTGGAATGGGCACAGCAAAGCCAGGTGAGGGTGACTGCGGGCATGGCCAGGGCTGAGCGCATCCAGCCTGGAAGACGCTCCTGGCTCGATTCGGCAGATCTGTTTATGCAAAAAGCAACGGAGGGTGGAGGGACACCTCGCCACTTGGCGACAGCTGTTGAGAGTGACAGGTTTGATGGGCACCCGGGAGCACTTACTCTCAAGGTGCCATTAAGCGTGGAATCCTTGCCCTGAATGTCGCCTCTGGATGAGGACGGACCGAGGAATGGTGACAGATGCCAGCTTACACATACCCTGAGATCGCAAAGAGCCCTTTTATGTTCGCTTAATGACTGTAAGATAGCAGAACTATTTTTAGCCACAGTTAAATTTGCAGGGCTGAAATTTTTTTATTGTAAGTTAAACAGGAAATGAAAAATCAACTGCAATTTTTTTCACCCTTGGAGAAAAAAAAAAGCTACTGTGTTCACTGGAAAGGTAAGAGAGAATGGCTTAGGGAAAACTAGGGTAGGTATCCCACACATTAGGAAGCCCCATGGAAATTCCTGATAAGAGATAACTGTTTTCATGGTTCTGCTCTGTGACCAATGCTACAGCCACTGGAAATCGACTTTCTGAATTTGTTGATTCAGCTCCAAAATGAGCTTGGCCCGGGTTTCATAGGGTGGAGAAGTTGGACAGCGGAACTAGCTGGGAGCTGGCAGGCAGGGCAGGAAATGAGAAGAATTTGCTGGACGTGAGTGGGACTGCAGGTGGGTGAAGCAGCTGGTAAATTGGACTCAAGGAATCTTTGGGGATTGGCCAGCAGGTGGAGAAGCTAAGAGGGGAGTCTATTCTGGTATCTCATTGGGTGATTTCAAGCATATGAAACCAGAAGGTACCTAAAGATTAAGTTCGTAAGAAATTGCTACAGGTAAGCATGAAATGCAAGTGGAGAGCACAGTACATGTTATTTCTTACACTGCTGAATTGCATTTATTTAGCATCGATTAGTAGTGATATCAGTAACCATACCAGAAAGAGCTTAGCATGATGAAAGCTACAGAAAAAGCTATAGGCACTTCAAGTTGTCTAAGATACCAATATCAAAATCTTCAATAAGAATACAGAAGGAAACCCCCAATATTAACAACAAGCTACTCAAAACTACTTGGTATTTAATCAGTGTCTGGCATTTTAGGAAGGACACCTTTGTCTAATAAATTCAACTGAATTATCAGCTTCTAATGTGTCTTCTCCAATGAGTGTTCAAAAAGACACCATGAAGGATGAGCAGCTGGCCCTATGAACAAAGTGCTTGACTGAGCTGCCCTGTTGCCCACCTGTGCTGACCATTTAGCCTTAGCAAAAATGAAGGCTATGTTGGGCACTGCATTCACACAGATTGTCATATAACTTGTAGGATATTATCTCATTCACAATTTCTTACAAACTAAAGAATGGTCAAGGTTGGGATTACAAGAAGGGACTAAAAGTCACCCAGAAAATGAACAAGAACATAAACATCACGGAAAGTAGATATTTAGAAGACCAGATGGCTCAGCCAAGTTCCTCACTGGGCAAATGAGGAATTCAGACTGGGTAAAGGGTTAGTCCAGAGTCATCCAATTCACAAACATGAAAGCTGGAACTCTCCCAAAGACTGGTAATACCCTGCCTCTTAAACAGCAGTTGAACACTGCCCTCCCGAATCTAGGAGAAGAAATGAAACAGATCCTTAGCTATATGACATGTAGTGCGGCCGGCGCCGCGGCTCACTAAGCTAATCCTCCGCCTTGCAGCACTGGCACACCGGGTTCTAGTCCTGGTCGGGGCACCGGATTCTGTCCCGGTTGCCCCTCTTCCAGGCCAGCTCTCTGCTGTGGCCCGGGAGTGCAGTGGAGGATGGCCCAAGTGCTTGGGCCCTGCACCCCATGGGAGACCAGGGGAAGCACCTGGCTCCTGGCTTCGGATCAGCGCGATGTGCCTGACGCAGCGCACCAGCCGCGGCGGCCACTGGAGGGTGAACCAACGGCAAAGGAAGACCTTCTCTCTGTCTCTCTGTCTACTCTGCCTGTCAAAAAAAAAAAAAAAAAAGACATGTAGTGGACCCACATGGTCTGTTCAGTCTGTCATCCCATCAGCAATAGTATTAAGCACTCCCTCCGTGCAAGGCTCTGTGGATTACACGCTAAACAAAGCAATAGGGTCAACACATGAAAAGGAGCAGTGGCTGGAGAGAGGACAGTGGCTTTTGAAACCTCAAGAATCATGCAACTGGATTGTAGGTTTAGCAAAGAGCCACACAGGTACAGTTAGGACTGGATCAGAACTTGGGGACCAGATTTGAATTTTATCCTGAGATAAATGGGAAGATGGAATTTACACAGGTGGAGGAAATGACCAAGTACAATCCAACAAAATCCTTTACAGGAATATTCAAGAATTTAACCCAATATGGTGTATCTTTCATGATGCAAAAAGTGTATTATGAAAAAGATGAGGCTGTCAAAAATTTGGAGCTCAAATTATATTCTCATTGAAAAATTATAATTTCATGGTTTCCTTTAGTTCCTTTTTATTCTTCCACTAGGCAGGAATCAATATTATAACTGTATAATATATAACAATATACTTGCTAACCTGTACATAGATAATCAACAAAGAATTTAATTGAATTTAAGCTTGCTTTTCATCCAAATAGGATTGGTATAAAAACACATGCAAGAAGTTTTTCACACAGAAAAATTCTACAAAACTATTTAAACTGAAGAATCCACCTATAAAAAAGATAACATTTTCCTCACTTTTGAAGTATGGAGTTTAAGATGACATTTTTAAATGTATAGGAATAACTGTAAAATGATGAAAAAAGTTTATTCTTATAGCATGTGTGAAACCAAAGAACCAGAATGTTTAAAAAACAACACCCTATCAACAAGTGTCAATGGATGAGGAAAAGAGACACACACGGGCACTGAGACTGTCCTGTTCTGGAGACTGTAAGCTCGAGTCTTTGTGAAGTGTCTGATCCACCAGCCCTTCTTCCTCTCTTTCAGTTTCATTCATCAGATGAGACTCCTGCAGACACACTTTTCTGTTTGCACCCGCCCCTGCGGTCGTTTTTGTCTTATGTCAGCATTTATCAGACTTCTATGACCCAGCTTTCTCTTGGCTACTTTCTACATCCTTCCCCAAAGCACCTTACTATACTCCCTTGATTGAGAAGCACTGCTATTTCAAATTTCAACATTTCTAAGATAGAGCACGGTTATGTGTATGTACTCCAGTGATTACCTCACTTTTCTAAAAAGCCGTCACTAAACTAATGGTGCCCGTTGAAATGGACTGTGACTTGTAATGGAGAGAAGAGGTCACACAGACACCACTGCAATGGCAGCCACAGGTTCCATCTGGTGTGTTGTGACAACGATCAAGGCTGTGCGAGCAGTGACTGTTTAGAATATGAACCCACTGTCAACCCCCTGCCACCGCTAACTGCTCCACCCTCATTCACCTCTGAGAGACCCCACTCTGCCTCTGTGGCTAAACAGGTTAGAAACAGGAAGCAGTGCCGAGAGATGCCACTGCCCTTTGATGATGTGCCTGGTAACACCGTCAGCATTTAAATCTTCAAGACAAAGAGTCAAGAGGACATCTGAACATTTTTCTCACATCCTCTTTACCTTGCCAACTCCCTGAGACAGATCAATGAAATGATGTCCGCAAACGTCATATTTTGGGGGCTGGTGCTGTGGCGTAATGGGCTAGGCTTCCACCTATGGTGCTGGCATCCCATATGGGCACCAGTTCAAGCCCCAGCTGCTCCACTTCTGATCCAGCTCTCTGCTATGGCCTGGGAAAGTGGTAAAATAGAGCCCAAGTGCTTGGGCCCCTGCACCAGCATGGGAGACCCAGAAGCTCCTGGCTCCTGGCCCAGCTCTGGCCATTGCAGCCATTTGGGGGAGTGGACCAGTGGATAGAAGACCTTTCTTTCTGTCTCTCCCTCTCTAACACTACCCCTCAAAATAAATAAACAAAACTTTTTAAAAAGACTAAAATTTATAAAGTTTGCTCCTCAAATTTCAAGGTGCAGGCTAAATTCTTGGAAAGCTTGCTTAAAATGCAGATTCCAGCTACATAAGTGCTGCAAAATAATTACATGGCCTCCTCACTTTATATGGGATATCCTAACATCCAATGTGGTGGTAACTGGAGGTACATTTCTTTGGGAGGAGATTACTTCATGAGGATGGAGCTCTCATAAATGGGATCGGTGCTGGTGTAAGAGGAGACAGGAGAGAGACACAGCTATGATACTAACTCTGGATGGGAACTGTGTAAGATTTTGCATTTCTAACAAGCTTTCAGGTGATGAGTTATTGCTAGTCCAGGTACCACACTTTGAGTAGCAAGACTCTAAGGTAAGGTTGCACATTTAGCTCATAAAAATAGCAAACAACAAACAGAAAAGACACACACACACACACACACACACACACAAATGGATTCACTGTTTATGTGGAAGATTTAACAGCAGTCCTGTGTTTTACCTGCAAACCTAGCCTCTATTTACATGTAATATATTACTTTTTAGTTTCCACACAAACCACAGAGAACATGTCAAAATTGTTTTCTGTGCCATTACAGATACCCTCGACATCTCCTTTAATAGGCTTTTCTTATATCAAAAACGATAGCAATGTAGGCAGAGAGGTCTCCTGGCTTAGTTGTAAGGGCACTCACTAAGGATAACCAGGACACAGGCAAGGTGGAAGTCCCTCAACAATAAACAGCCGAGGCTTCTCACATGCATCGAGACTTTTAACTTGGAAATGCAACACAGCCTTCACAATATAGGAAACTGTCTTCACAGATGGTCTCAGATGGTTCTGTTGTGATGAATGGAAAGGATCAACACTTTGAACCCTGGGCCAGTATTTGATTTCATCAGCACATTAGTCAGTTTGGAGTGCTATGACAAACATACCAAAGATACAGTGGCTAAAGCAGAAATTAATTTCTCACAGTTCTACAGGCTGGGA